TCCTCAACAAAATACCAGAAGTAACTGGATTAACACCAGCATTTAAGAAACAACTTACACTTGAACAACTGCCATGTATGACTACAAAGCAGGCATAGCATAGAATATAAATGCAAATTCAATCTTAGCTTTCCTCATTTTTACGTTGTCTAAATCTCAGATTTACAGTTTAACTTGGTTTTAATACAGAGTTTCAACTTTGAAATTGAAGAACTTAAATGAAAAAAACAGAGATAAAGAAAGTGAAATGGGCAAAAGTTGAAATGCTTGCAATACTTTCAGAATAATATGTAGGCTTCTTCACAGAAAAAGAGTTTTTAGAGAGGCTCTGAAAATCATTCTGTATGTTTTGTTGCCTGCTCTGAAGGGTTCAATCTTGGGCACTAAGACAAAAATGAGTGAGCAGAGAAGCAATTTGCCAGAGAATTGTAATCTGGAACTTCTTGCAAACCAATTCATATGGATCACTTATACTGAAAAGCAAGTGCTTTCAAAATTTCAAATTACTCCATTAATATTACTAAGAGTACATATACTTAAGGCTGAAAATTCAAAGGTGACAACATTGCTATGTACTTATAAATAGTTGCCTTCAATATAAAGCCACTATCTTATTATAAGCTATTCTTTGGTGTACCACTCAAACTGAAAAGAAAAGAAGAGGATGAGGGTCAAGCTCCAGCTTAACTAGTCCTTATTTAAACTGTGTTCAGTTCAACTTAGTGTTTACTCCTCAAGGAGCCCTAATAGTCACCCCAATTAATTTTCCTTCTTAAAAAACCAAATAGCTGATTTCACAGGCTAAAATGCCATTTTGTTTTAATACTTTTTAAGCTCTTTGTCGGCATCTCAATCCTTAATTTGACATTTTCTTCCTCGAAAGCTTGCCTCACACTAAATATTTTCTGGAAAACTGAATAATAAGGTTGAAATCTGTAAAATTTAGAGTGGTTTTTTTTTTTTTTCCATTCAAGTTCCCTCCATCTTTCTTAGCTGCAAAAGATATTAGCTCTCAAATTGCTGCACTGAGTATGCTTCCTGTATTGTTTCCTGTAGGTGGCTCTTCAGTGAGGAATTCTAAGTGCATGTGGCAATTTTCAAAGTTATATCTCCAAAATACAGACCAAGAAAAGAGAACAACTTTGTGCCACGTGCATAAATAACTACAAAAAAACACCCCAAAGGACTGAAGTTTTTCTCCCATCAGCAAAACTATTAAATGCAGAAATACATTGTGACCAAATCCCAGAGTTTCTATTTCCTTCTGTTCTTAATTAATCTAACTGGTTTTCTGCATTAACTACATGTAGGACTTGGTCACACTTCCTACAGGTCTTTCTGACAAATCATTTACATACAGAGACTATGCACATGCATGTCATCAAATCCTCAAGTTTCCTTGCAGACAGGTCTGTTGATGTGTAATCAAAAAACAAGGAAACCTGCACAGTAATGCCTGCAAAACTGAAATTCTACTTTAAAAAGGAAAGATAAAAACAAAACCAAAAGGAAAAAAGGGGATCTTTTAAATTTAGATATAATTATAATTACATTAAGTATTAAGTGTTTCTCATGGAGTTACATTCCATTTTTATCTTGAGAACGCATCTAGTGCTCGCCTTGCTTTTTAAATCACTATTATTCAGGTTACCTACTTAATAAACGGTGTGTGTGTGTGTATCACTTATGTGCTTTGCACGTTCCCTTCTCAATCATGTTGCCTGGTGGACAGTTTTACTTCCCTGAAGGAGATGGTCCTGCCTTTTTTCCCCCCCCTGAACTTCAGGGACAAGCACACTTCTTCACTTTCAAAGTCATTCAGTTTACATAACAATCATTCAAAGGTATTCTCTTTCACAAGGTATTTACCCAGCATGGACACAGCTGATAAAAAACACCAGAGAGGTCCCCTGACTCACAGGTGTAAGTCTTAGCAGTAACAACTATAAGTGACCCATCTGCAAAACCCTTGACAACAAAATCTAGGAGTTTACAACATTTCTACTGTTAAAGCAGCAAATCCTCAATGGCTAAAATGCCACGAGTAGGGAAATGCCCATCTTTAAGAAGGGACACTAATTGTGACAAGTGTGCACTTCCACACTGCCACCTATTGGGAGATTATAAAGAACTTAATAAATATTAGCAAATTCTAGTGGAAGGTGTTCCCATGAGACAGACACCACTCCTGTCCCATAGAAAGAGAACAACTTGTGGATCAAGGGGAAGAATTTCAAAGGTGTACCACTAGTGCTGCCTACCTAATACCTAAATATATCTCCTCACCTTCACCATGGGCCGCTGCAGTGCTACCACACTTACCAGGTTACAAATACTAAGTCCTTTGAAAGCTGGGTATGTTATTTAGATGCCTAAGTGCAAGGCTGAAATTCACAGCTGAATCAGCTCTTTCACTGTCCCACAAGAGTTGCCAGGGGCTGAAATCTGCAGTCCTGCACCCCACAGTGGTGCTACCCAGTGACAGATGCAGAAGGCTGCCCTGTTAAAAATGACCAGAACATAATACAGAATAACATACATTTTTCAGAGATGCAAGCAAGTGAAACAAGTATTCAGGCTGCATGGGTATTATATTATTCATAAAAAAAGACTCAGCCAGAGGCGAGCAAAATATCCTTGCTCTTTTAATTCCCACCACCCATAAATAATCTTCCTGTTTGTGTTTTATTGAAAAACAAGTGATTTAAAAGTCACCTAGTGCTATAATCCCTGCTTCACAACTGCCATCTGTCCTGCAGTGGGAGTAACGGACCCTTTCATTCACAAGCAGAGCCAGCGAAATAAAGAGGAAGAGGAGGAGTTGAAGGGGAAGAAAGTGAGAAAGCGGATAAATTCCGTTTGTGCTATTAAAAAAAAATAGAAAAGTGAACTCAGTGGTTGAAAAGTGAAGATAAAAAGATGAAAACAGTAATCTTGCTACAGAAACCAGAGAATTATGTTCTTGCTCTACCCCTCTTTTTTCTTTTTTTTTCTTTCACACCGTACAAACTGTAACACCCTGAACAACTCACTCCCCTGCTATTTCCAGCACTTTAGAGAAACTTTTCAACATTTCTGTTCGACACATATTTTCAGCAGTGAGGTGAAGACAATAAGTAAACAGGTAGTGAAGGGCTATTTAGAGAGCTGGTCAGTCACAGTAATAATAACAACGCAAAAAGAAAAAACCCCACACAGCACAGAACATCTATCCTATGCGCTGTAGCCACAGACAACACATGACCTCTGACAAACAGTTTTCAGAGTAATTTTAATGCTACTCTGGATTTAACTTGACTAACTGGTAGCAATTGAGCACATCTTTTTTTGTGGCAGCAGTTATCTAAAATGCTACAATAACAGCATCAAAAGTAGAATGGTGGAAGATTGGTTTTCCATTGTGCTGCTGAACTGGCATAATGCCCACTTTAAAAGCAATTCGCTGCTCATCACTGAAATCTGGCAGACACGACACTAAATGCCTTGAGGAAAAAAAAAAAAAAAAGGGTCTTGAGAAGGGGGAACCACTCCAACCACCAAGCAAAGAAAAAGGAGACTGAAAAAGAAAAAAAGAAGAGAAGAAAGAAAGCAAAGAATGATGAATCTATGTAAGAAGAGAAAATTGCGAAAATAAAAAGTTTAGCACTGCATGCAGACTCAACAGGCACTACTTAATTTGCTGGAAGATTTTATCGCAGGCTTGCATTAGTAATATCAGAGCAAAACAAAAGCAAATTTATATTTATGTCTGTCTATTGTTCTGATGAAGTGAAAACGTACTGAGTTACGTCAATCATTTGTCAAACACATCTTCCTAGTTTTATTTACCACTAAGTATAATGAGTAAATATGTGATAATAAAACTCTTCTTTTCATACGGACATATACAATTTTTTCCCACAACTAAATACAGGTAATGATTTAGGAAGCTTTCAAAATGTCTTTTTACTGTCAATAAAACTAATTCTATTCCCATTTTCATGTTAAAAAAGGGCTTTACAAATGAAAATTCAAATTAAAATTCTGATTATAGTGTAGTGTGACAACACCTGTATTTATAATTTTACTGTCAGCTAGCTCGCAGTGTTTAACAATAGCTTGAAGCAGGAAAGTAATTGGAATTTGTCTGTAACATGCCAGATGACGACACTGGGCACTTCGCTCTGCTAAAGCAAATTTGGTTTGATGACAAAATAACCTTAGCAAGATCGGGCAGCACCCTCCACCATCCAAAAGGTTAAATAAAGCTATCCCTTAGCCAGGGACCAAATCTAGCTCTGACAAAGCCAAGCAGCTGAGCAGTAGCTGCAGACAGCAGGGTACCCCGGAGCTGGCTGCCCTCTCCTGAACAGGCATCTCTCACTTTGCTCCCAGCAACATTCACCTCCCAGCAGCTCTTCCAAAATGGTGCATTACTCCAGTATCAACCCCATGTAATTCAGAAACACAGCAGAGAAAGGAAGCAAAGGACACCAGGCTGGGAAGAGATGCTAACACAAGTGCTGCAGTTCTGTGGACCTCTGTGGGAATAAAGAAGGAAGCCTACAACAAAAATGTGCAATGCCACCCTGAACATGGAAGTATCCTGTGTCCTGTGTTTTTGTATCTCCCACACACATACACATACTGCCTGGTGTGTGCTGACAGGCCAGGTGAAAATTAGGACACAAACACATCCACTTTTAAAGAAAAAGGTAAAAAAAAAAAAAAAAAAGGCAAAAAAAACCGCTTTTCAATCTGAAGATTTCAAAACTTAAACACATGCCACTCTCCACACACAACTTGTCTTACTGAAGTCGACAAATTAAAAGCCCGTGTTTTTCATTATGCTGAAGACAGAATAAAAATAAAGAAAAGGAAGCCACATAAGAAAGAAAAACAGAATGACAGTGATGTTTTAGTTTACACTAGATATGGCAACACATACAAACTGTCAAAACTATGGAGTGAAAAAAGCTGTTATCAAGCAACTGTCAAGAGAGTCCTCTGAGATTTGGAAATCTTGTGTTTATTGTAACTACTGCACATTACACAAAGAAAGAAACATCCCTCTTCTTACCATTGCTGCTAAATATCATGCAAGAGAACCCAGACTTCTCCCTCACCGTTTAGATTAATTTTTTTTTTCCTGTGCAATTCTGTGCTTGACAGCACAGGGCCCCTCCTTTTTCAGGTTTTTATTGTTTGGTCAAAGTTCAGAGAGAAACTTGAGGTTATATAAAACATTATTTCATTTTCAAGAACTGTCAACTCCCATTTTATGTTGTTAACTTGTTGTCCATCATTTAAGAGTAGAACTGTTGACACCAAAATGCACAGACTAAGGATTTCTCTCTTAAAACATGTACACAGAAAGAGCAGAGATTATGGAAACAGCTATTTTACTAGACATACTATGTTAAAATACATGAAAAAGAATTGTTAGTAACTAGAAATTAATCAGTTAACTGGCAGTGGGCTACAGTAATATTCAAAGGTCTAGTCTGAATGCATTAATGCAGATATTAAATTGCACTTTCTGATTATAAGAAAACAATTACCCCTCAGAGAGAAATCCCCAGTATCTACAGGGTTTCAGTAGAACCCTCTAAGTACTGTTTTGAGTGACAGCCTTCTATGATAGTTTCTCAACCAGCAGCAACATTCCAACCATGCTGGTACCTGGTTAAAAACTTGTGACCAAAAAACAGATTGCTTTTTGCTTATTACTCACTGTGAAATCACATTAATTATAATTTCTACACTTCAGGTTTATGTAAAAATCATCTTTATTCTGAATCACTGGTTTTACAGAACAACATCTGATGAGGTCCCAAGATTTAGCCTGAAGTTCCTGAGAAACAACAAAGCCTTGGATGTGTTTGACAATGCAAGTTTTAATGACTGTATCAGTTCTGGGGAGGGTAATGTTGAACCCAAAACCTCAATTAGGGAAGACTCAAATATTGTTTGATAACAAGAACAAACGATCTGTTGCCCCAGTGAAGTCAACCAGCCCATAGAGAGTACAGTAATTCTAAATGCCTCAAAACTGATGTTATTTCATTGTGAATTTGTCAGGGATATCACATCTCTGTAGATCTTCATGTGAGCTGACTTTCTAGAACCAAGCATCAGCCCCTGTTGGAGTTCCCCACAGTGGCCACCACTCAGCAGACAACAAACACCACCTGGGAATCACGGTTCTCATCCCTGAGCACAGACTCTGATACAATCCAAATGCTCAAACTCATAAGGACATCTTCACAGTTTTGCATATATAGATTTTTTTTTTAAGTCTTAAGAGCACTTCTTCAAAATTTCATAATATTTATGATCATTGCATGAGAATACTTGAACAAAAATTCAGCCTGACACATACTCCCCACAACTACCATGACCACTTAGGTATAATTCTATCTCCAAATACTGGTTAACCTCACACAACACTATGACTAACATATTATCACAGTGTAAAACATAAAATAAAAAATAAAATTGTTGAGAAACTTAACAATAATGAATCTTTCCCACAATAAACTGCATTGTTAGCTGCATTATTTCCTAGCTTTGACTCTCAAGTACTTCCTCCTCCTGGCTTATAAGAGTTTTTAAAGTACCGTAACAATTACTGCACAAACAGCTGCAGTTACATGTCCACTTAACACAGCCTTTTGAAACATATATATTAATACCCTAATATAAGCTTACACACATGCTCACACAAAACGTAAGAAATAAAACAGTGCTCTGACCCTCAGAAATTTAATGACATGAAATAAAGCTATTTTCAAGACTGGCAGAGTTGTAACACTGCATAGATATGATCCATATGCTAAAAGTCTATTCAAGTACTTACTGCTCCATAAATAGAAACAGTTTTGTCAGTGAACTGCAGCAAAAAAAAGAAAGACTATAGGGAAGGTTTGTGCAAAGCAGGGGTGAATCGCTGAACAGGTACTGGGCTTCCACTATGATTAGATTTGGGATTATTAAAGTTTGTAAGAAATAATGAAGTTAGCCTGACTCATCAAGGTATTTTCATCTTATCCAGTCTACCAAATATCCTTTGGAAGTTCAAAAAAGCACTCTGAGAGCTGTTTTTTAAAAAAGTCAAATCTGACAGAAAAGCTCATCCGCCAAATCCTCTCCTTCTTCATATACACTTGTAAGGGTTAGGATATAGAGGGGAAAAAAGCATGAGAGAAAAAGAGAGGGTCATTATAGCTGAAATTCAACACATTGAAGTTGGCATCATCAAAATAAAGAGCTCCTCCCGTTAATCATGAAATTTAGAGTACTGGAAGATCTACCAGACCTATTTTACTGAACAGGAAAATTCAGTACCAGAATATTGTTAAATTGAGTTACCATTATCAGTGCAAAAATATGCTCTATTTCCTATTATTTATGAAGCCCTGTTCTTTTCTTTCTTACCAATTACATTCCCTATCATTTCCAAAATATACAAACTCTTTTCAATCAACAGATTTCTTTATTACAGTGTACTGCATGCTTGTT